GCGCCCAGGGCCGCGGCGTCAGCCAGGGCCGAGCGCGTAGGGCGGGCGATGAGGTGTTCCTCCTCGATGAGGTCCCGGACTCGGGCTCCGCTCCAGCGGGCGGGGGCCAGGAGGTCGGGAGGGCGGAGGAACCGGCAGCCGCCGATGATGGGGAGGTCCAGCAGCTGAGCCGTGGGGACCGCCCGGTGGTTGAGGCCCAGGATGTTGGAGGCCTCCTCCCATAGCTTCAGCAACCGGAGACGGCGGGGCTGGAGACGGGTGCCGTCCGGTGGAGGGTGGATCCAGGCTTCCCCGCTGTTGCCGCCGACCAGCCAGCTGAAGGCATTTCTGCCCCCGCGGAGCGCGACCTGCACCCCCTTGAGGCAGGCGAGCTGGAGCTGGGTCGCGAGGTCGAGGAGGCCGAGGCCTCCGATGGCAACTGGCCTCGCCATGACATCGGCGGGAAGCCACGCCGTGTGGTCCTGTCCCCAGACGAATCTCGCCAGTCGGGCCTGCAGCTTGGCGATGGTCGGGGGTGATGGTAGGTATCCATGCAGGTGGTGCTGGATGACAGAGCCCACCAGCGTGTTCGCCGCTCTTGCTCGCCCGACGAGGGAGAGGCCGCGGGTGAAGGGCGTCCATTTGCGGCATGCAGTCTCCAGGAGGGCCAGGAGATGCTGCTCCCGGTGGGCGACGGTGCTCCTGGGGGCGATGTCGAGCCCGAGGACCCTGATGGAGGTAGTCGACCAGGAGGGGCCGAGAGGGGAGTCGCCGCGGTTGCGCCAGGCGCCGCACCAGAGGCCAGCGCTCTTCAGGAGGTTCACGCCAACTCCGGAGGCCTGCTTGTATTCTTCTAAGACGGTCGCCACCCGTTCGAAGTCTCCGTCGCGATGAAATAGGAGAACGATGTCGTCGGCGTAAGCGATGACATTGCCCACGCCGAGGGTCAACTCCAGGCGACGTAGCAGCGGCCCCGTGGCGATGCTGAAGAGTGCGGCGCTTACGGCGCAACCCTGCCTGAGGCCGTTGAGAAGGGGGAAGGCTGTTGTATGAAAGCCTCCGGCCCGGATGGTGGCGTCCGCCCCGGCGTAGAGGATGTTAATCCAGGCCATGAAGGCCGGCGGGAGGCGAAGGGATGTTAGCAGGGACTCCAGGAAGCCGCGGTCCAATGAGTCAAAGGCGGACTCTAGGTCGACGCCCATGACGGCCAGCGGCGAGCCCAGGGTGGTGGCCTCCTCGATGGCGTCCGTCACCATGGCGATGTTCCATGACGGGGACCTCCCGGGGACGGCGTAGGTCTGGCATTCCGGCACCAGGGTCCGCAGGTGGGGCTTGAGGCGCCGGTGAAGGATGGCGGCCAGGACCCTGTAGTCGGCCGAGGGTAGCGCGACAGGCCTGTAGCCATCAAGGCCGCGACCTCCGCGGGTCTTGGGCACGAGGCAGATGGAGCTGCGCCGCGTCGACGGAGGCAGGGCACCGCGGAGCCGTGAAGCCGCGAACACCCGGGCCAGAGCTTCCGCGAAGAAGTCCTCGTTGAAGGCGACGAGGAGTTCGCACGGCAAGCCGTCCCAGCCGGGGACCTTTCCGCGAGGGAGGTGCTCGATGGCGTTGGCGATCTCGCTGGGGCTGATGTCCGGCCGGTGGAGCGGGTCCTCCTCACTCAGCTCGCGGGTGGTGGTGGGCGCGCTGCTGGCGATGAAGGCAGCTCCCGCAGCTGGATCGCTGGTGGGACGGGCGAAGCGGGGCTGGAAGGTCGCGAAGGCCCTCCGCCGAAGCTCGGGGCCCTCGATGAAGTTATCCGGCTCGTCCCTGATGACGCTGACCGGGCGTCGGAGGCGGATGGCGCGTGCTAGGTCGGCCCGGATGGGTAGTCGGCCCGGATGGAGGAGGCCTCGAGCTGCGCCTCGATATAGCGCCTAGCCCTGTAGATGTAGCTGTCGCTGGCAGCGTGGCGCGGATCGTGCAGGGATCTGGCCTCCGCCAGCAGTCCCGCCTTGATGGTGGTCCACCTGTCCCATAGGATCCCGTCGTCGTCATCGTGCGCCGTGTCTTCCTCGAGCTCCCGGATGTAACCAGCCAGATGTTCGAGAACGAGGCCCGAGCGGAGCATCGCGGCCAAGCGAGGCTGGGTGGGGGAGGAGACGGCGGTGGTGGGCGGTCCCACCTGGAGCAGCACGAGGCGGTGGTCCGAGAGGTGGTAGTGGCTGGTCGCGTAGATGGACACGCGACCCAGGACTCCAGCAGGGACGAGGATCCGGTCCAGGCGGTTCGATTCGACTTGGTCGCCGTGCATGGCGACTCTGGTGGGCAGGTGGGCGTCGTCGAACTGGGTGGCCACGTCGACCAGCGCGGCCAGGTCCAGAAGAGCGGCGAGGGCATCCGACGATGATGATGATGAGGGCCCTCGATCCCTGATATTAAAATCGCCGATGATCCAGCAGGCCCCCTCCTCCTCCTGTGCCGCTGTCGCCGCCAGGAGCTCCAGTTGCCAGTTTCTCTCCCGGGGTTCATGCGCCAGATGAACAGCGATGGCCGTCATCTCCTCGCCGCGGACATCTATGGTTGCCAAGGCGATGTGGCCCGGCCACAGGATGCGTTGTTGTAGCACGGCTACGCCCGGTCCGAAGACGCAGGCGAGTCCGGATCCCGAGATGGCTACGGGATGGGCCAAAACAACAGCACTGTAGCCGAGGCAGAGGTCTTGGCCGCTGCCCAGATGAAATGCGTTTGTCTCCTGGACAAACGCGATGTCCACGTGATGTTGGCTGAGGAGATGACAAAGGGCAAGGCTCCTCCCCCGAGTGGCGAGCCCTCGCGCGTTGATGCTGGCGATGCGGAAGCTCATTGTTGCCCTCCTGTAGGCATCTTCCCCAAGGTCTTCCGGAGGGTCTTGCGGATGGTGTGGTTGGAGTCTGGAACCGAGGCTATGATGGTGTTGGCCAGCTCTTTGAGGGCGGCGACCTGTGCCACTGTCAGCAAGTGCGCTCGGTTCTTCATGGTGGTCTCAGAGGTGAGGAGCTTCTGAGCCTCCTCGCATTTAAAGTCGGGCAGCCCGTTCCAGTCGATGGAGAGGCTGGGGGACTTCCTGAGGTGCTCCAGCAGCTGTTCGAGTGCGGCCTTTCCCCGGGCAGGCGTGGCGAGAGGTGAGGACAGCTTCTCCTCCGACATCACGTGGGCGAGCGGAGGGATGCGAGGCTCGGGGGGCCGCGGGGCAGCCAGGGAAGCAGGGTGGGCAGCAGGGGCGGGGTGGGTGATATCCATCTGTTCGGCAGGCTGGTGTGCCGAGGGGGTCACTGGAGCCTCAGTTGAAGACTTCGCCGGTTGGACAGGGGACGCCGATGTTGCGGGCGCAGGTGTCGGCCTCCTTGGCTGCTGAGGAGGAGGAGGAGATGGGGGGGGGGGGCCTTGCGTCGGTGGGAGACGCTGCTTGCCTGGGGCTGCTGTTCTGCCTGGCGAGCGATGGGCAGTTTGCTCTGCGGTGGCCCTGCTTTCCGCATTTGGAACACTTGATTCCAAAGGAGAGGAAGGCCGACAGGGTGTCTCCCTTGGAGTGGATGGTCAGCCGGGTGGGCAGCGTCTCCAGCCTTACGCCCTCGCGGAGCAGGATGAATGCTTCCCGGCGGCCGTCGGTGAAGGTAAACTCCCCCATTTTGACCAGGATGGGGGCAATGGAGGTGACTTTCCCGTATTGGCTCAGGGCGTCCACGATGGTGTTGTCCTCCACAAAGCCGGGCAGGTTGGCCACGACTATTCGTTCCGCCCTCTTGCGGAAGGGGAAGACCTTGAGGGACGTACCCTCGATTTCCAGGCCGTCCGCGACCAGACGGTTCATTACAGAATCATCATATCATCATGATAATATTTAGAGCAGACTGTTGAATTATAACAGATAAATTATAATATTTATCTTGATTATTTCAAGGCGAAAAGTTATTTCAAAAATTTTATTTGCTAGAAACCTTCCCAGTACTATACTAAATAACTTCCCAAAGTTTCATGGCGTTCCAATGAGTGGTTTGGTCAGGCATAAAGGACAGACAGACAGACACACACACACATACATTCATTTTTATATATATAGATACTTCTGTAATCGTAGAAATTTCACTCATATATTATGTAAGTCCAGACAGTCATCTTCCCGTAGTATCCCCTGTGATTTAATCCCCCCATGGAATGAAACTAAGTGCTGTATGGTAAGATATATCCAATATGTGGATTCAACTGGATAACATTAATATATATAGTCACGACCGTCTGTCGTGGCCTCAGTCACGGATAATATACAGTTATCATCGTCATTAATTCTGTCACCGTTTGCTTTTGGTTCAGTGGTAGAATGCTCGCCTGCCACGCGGGCGCCCAGGGTTCGATTCCCGGCCGATGCATTTTTTATTTTTTTTACAATTTTTAAAACTCATTTTTATATTATACAAGAATGACATCCACGGTGCCAATTTATAATTGTAGCGAATAGTATTCGAATAAAAGCATTTAATCGGGTAAACCCCGGGCGTTGTAGATTATAAACACAAGGTAATAAGACCACATCCATGATAAGGTACAGTTTGGATTATAGATTATAAACACAAGGTAATAAGACCACATCCATGATAAGGTACAATTTGGATTATAGATTATAAACACAAGGTAATAAGACAACGTCCATGATAAGGTACAGTTTGGATTATAGATTATAAACACAAGGTAATAAGACCACATCCATGATAAGGCACAATTTGAATTATAGATTATAAACACAAGGTAACAAGACCACATCCATGATAAGGTACAATTTGGATTATAGATTATAAACACAAGGTAACAAGACCACATCCATGATAAGGTACAGTTTGGATTATAGATTATAAACACAAGGTAACAAGACCACATCCATGATAACAGTTTGGAACAGTTTGGATTATTACTATATATAGTCACGACCGTCTTTCCTCATCGGCCGCCTCTGTCACGGATAATATACAGTTATCATCGTCATGCGTTCCTAATTCTGTCACCGTTTGCTTTTGGTTCAGTGGTAGAATGCTCGCCTGCCACGCGGGCGCCCCGGGTTCGATTTCCCCCCATTACAAATATCATAGACTAGGTTGCTCTTGTTGAGCGGTACCTAATAAAGTGATTTTGAAATTTTTCAATGGGGTTATAATTATAAAAATGTATATGCATGATAGGTGTTTCTTAAAACATATATTCCAATATATAGATGCCCCAGTTCCTTAGAAATTCTATCACCAAATCTTACAAGTCGAAATCTAATCACCAAGCCAACATAGTATATTCAATTCATTGCCAATAGTGTAATGGATTCCACATATGTTGGCAATACCAAACTTGTAGGGCAATCCAGATTAATCTCAAATAACACAACAGAAACATAAGAAACAAAATCAACATTCTATAAATCTACCAGCAATATTTTCAGACTGACTACCTTATTAATATTATCAGATATCAAACGCCACTACCCAAATATCATTGATAAAATACCAACGCTTACTTTTAGTATACCTTGTGTCCAATGAGTTCAATACCATCAACGGAAAGAGACTGAGTTACCAACTATGTTAATTCCTTAGAAGACAATAGAATCCTTTACCTTACTGAAGATTTTTATCTCTACTTTTCCCAATGTATACACTACAATAGGTATAAAATTGGCCTAAATTAGTTTATATATATACAATGTCCTGTTTATTAATCTGCTGATTAGTTCTTTATTATCATGCGATCTTGATCAATCAATCTAGAGTTGACTTCATCATACAACGAGCACGCAATTTTTGATATAGTAGTTTGATTTGGAAATTAACTACTATGTTAAAAATAAGATTGTGAGTTGAAATCTCGACCTTTTTTATGACACTAAAATTTTTAATTTCATGATTCTATTTGTATTTTTTAAAACAAATTTATTTCAGATGTACACATTAATATATAGGCTACAGGACCCTGGGTTACATTCATGATATATGTATTATATTTATAATATTGAGATTTTTATCCTTTGAGAACTAAGGAGACCTGACACGTGATCTCAATATTCTATATTGGTAAATTTTAGCGTATAAGAATAGATCGGGTTTTTTTATTATGACAACGACGATGATATTATGATGAACTAAATATTACTGCATTTATATTACTACACAATAATCAAGCCTCAAAATGTGTAAATGTAAACTGAATAAACCAAACAACTCTTATATGCGATGAGCTAGTAATTCAGTGTATGTTTATATGAAAAGACTTAAATATTCTAGAAATATATATATATACCTTGACTATCTATTTTATTAGATATAGGTAAAATTGAGTTCTTGGATTTATTTATATATGCCATGTTATACACACAATAATGATTACTAATTTTATAAATAGCCCTTTTATTAACTGTTTTAAATAATTTTTTTTATATCCCTAGCCTATATATAGACACTATACTCTCCTGAGCGTGCACAGCAAATATTTTTGCCATAATAGTTGATGTTTTCTCAGGTTCTAAGATATCACCTTTGAAGAGCGACTTTTGCTCAAAATCATACTTTTTTTTAATGAACAAAATCTTTCTTCTTTTTTTTAAATTTATTTTTTTATTTTTATGAAATCTACTTTTCATATGAAAACAGTGCATTTAAGAATTAATAAATTGATTCTCACATATTTTAGAATTCAAAGCAATCTCTAATAGAAATTAAATAATTTTAAGGGCAATTTCAAGCCGATAATCTCTAACATATAATATGTAAATATAGACCAAATAAAATTTTACCCATTTAAAAATATTCATTTTTCATTTTAACATAAAAATTATATGTAATATAAAGCATTCTTTCAGAAAGTCAAATTATCTTAAATATCAATTTAATTTTTATTTTTTTTTATTTTTAAATAAGAAATGGCTGATATGACCCTCTAAAGCAATATTTATATTTTCCTTGTGTTTACGATTTAATGGAATCATTTCGAAAGGTTGTTTAGATATTACATCATTTGTGTGTGATATAATAATATTGTCACTGAATAATTATTTTAAATATTCTGTTGTATATCATCATAAATATTTGCATTATCATCACCCCTTAACATGCTTGTATATTATTACTTGTAAATAATAAACCCAAACTTTTTCCCAAAAATGTATTTTAATAATTTGCGGCGGTTAACTTCTCTAAATGGCCGAATTTTGTAAGTACCAAATTGTATTTTCAAGCGCAACCAATAAGTGAGAGTGCGAATTGAAAAAATATATATATATAAAAAAAAAACTAATATTTATATAGTTAGCTATATATATATAATTGGATTTTAAAAAATATGTATATATTTAAAGCCATCTTTTACATAAAACTTGAATTTAATTCAAATTTAGGGGGCTACTTTAAATCAAAAGAACATTTTAAAAAGAGACCAAAAGGATTACTAATTCATAGCTACACATTAAACTATAAAAGCTTTTTTATAACATCACAGCTACAGCTATTATAAAATGTTTTAATTTATTTGAGATAACTGTTTTCTTAAAACATAGAAAGCTTTGTTCACATAATATTTGAACATTGATATATGTCATCAGTTTTTAAGTACAATTTTCTTTATATAATGCTCTGATATTTATTTATTTAACAATTGCAGAATACACGCTATATCCACAAATCGGATATTTGCGTGTGAAATATATACATTTGAATGAAAGAAAAAGTAGTTTAAAGGGATATTTACATATCAGTATGCAAATTGATTACATTAGTAGTCACTTATTTAGTCAAGTACATTCTGCAGGATTTGTTAAATCTTTGGTGTATGTCTTTAGTGTAGACCAGATGGTGCATATTTGTTATGGGAAGTTGATTTAGTTCCCTAAGGTCAGCGGTCAGCTGATATGATGTTTATAATGTACTAGACGAATGGCCCGGGCAACGCCCGGGTTTTACCCGAGTGCGAATATATTTTAAAAACGTTGTCTTGGGTGGTTGCTATAGACAGGGTGGTCTGTATAGACAGGTGTATGTATCACACAGCCGATAACAGGGTTGTCTAGAGTGGCCGCTATAGACAGGGTGGTCTGTATAGACAGGTGTATGTATCACACAGTGATAACAGGGTTGTCTAGAGTGGTCGCTATAGACAGGGGGGTCTGTATAGACAGGTGGATGTATCACACAGCTGATAACAGCGTTGCCTAGAGTGGCCGCTATAGACAGGGTGGTCTGTATAGACAGGTGGATGTATCACACAGCTGATAACAGGGTTGTCTAGAGTGGCCGCTATAGACAGGGTGGTCTGTATAGACAGGTGTATGTGAGTGGCCGCTATAGACAGGGTGGTCTGTATAGACAGGTTTATGTATCACACAGCCGATAACAGGGTTGTCTAGAGTGGCCTCTATAGACAGGGTGGTCTGTATAGACAGGTGTATGTATGACACTGTTGATAACAGGGTTGCCTAAGGTGACCGCTATAGACAGGGTGGTCTGTATAGACAGGTGAATGTAACACACTAATGATAACAGGGTTGCCTAAGGTGACCGCTATAGACAGGGTGGTCTGTATTGACAGGTGGATGTATCACACAGCTGATAACAGGGTTGTCTAGAGTGGCCGCTATAGACAGGTGTATGTATCACACAGCTGATAACAGGGTTGTCTAGAGGGGGGCAGGGAGGTCACGTGTTCGCCGGCGGCAGCCAATGGGCGCGCATTCTATCCGTGAACGGTGACGGTGAGCTTCAGAATAAGGCAATTATATAAGTAGATATAATTAAAGGTAAAGACTCTTCTAGTAAGGTATATCAATTAAGAAGGTTCAGAAGATGAGTTTCTTTAATTGTAAAAATGCTACAAGCTTTCGGGCAAAAGCCCTTCGACAGGCAAAATATAACTATACTAAGAAAGATATCGATGGTTGTAGGGAATATATACACGTATTAATTTACATAATTATAAAAATATTAAAAAATATAAAAAAGGCATGTAAATGAACAATTTAACTATTTGTAAAAGTGAAAAAAGTACGAAAATAAAAATTCTAGAGAGCAATTCAAGAAATGCAGAAAACATTAGCTGAAAGAAAAAGAATATCAATGAGGCAAATATATGACAGTAATGGATCTTCAACTGTATAACTAATTGTATCCAAGTAACTATTACGGGTGGATTTGTACGGTTAAAGGTTATGTTCTGGGCTGCCATCTATGAAATTGGTATTTAATGACTAGTGAGAGACAAAAAACCGATTTGAACCGGTATGACTGAAGGTGGTGGGAAGGGGGGGGGTTATTAATATACTAAAGGTAGAATCTGAAAAAGTTTAATTGGAAATGTAGTTTGTGTAGACTGCGGGAATGTCTATTTTTCTATTTATGCTGTGTAGCTTGGATGAAACTATGGATTCCAGAACCAATCTCTGGTGTAGGTTGGAGATATTTTTGTAGTGAATGGTTGGGTTAGCAGTGTCAAAGGAATGGCCAGAAGATGCAATGTGTTGAAAAATAAGGGAACGGACATTCTGATGGCGATGGTCCTACCGGTCTCCCCCACATAGGTGGCAGGACACTGTTGGCATGAGACCGAGTAGACTGCTCCAGATGTTAGAGGATCAGTGGAGGAGTCAGTTTTTGTGATGGGAGGCCTAAGGAGTGAGTGGAGGTTAGGTGTGTTAGTAAAAAAGGTACGGATGCCAAAGGGTTTGAGGAAACGGGAGAGGTTAACTGAGAGGGGAGAGAATGGGATCACACATGTGGATTTGTAAGTTGCAGGAGGGTTAAGAGTAACAGGTGAATAGGTGTGTTTTTCTATGAAGGATAGAGGGAAACCTGAATTTGTAAGATGGGAGATGATGCGGTTCTTTTCAATAGTTTTGAAGATGGGGAGTGAGCAGTGGGTTAATAGGCGGCGGGTGAGGGCTTTAACTATATTGATTTTGTGGGAAGTTGGACAGTGTGACCTATAATGAGTGTATCTGGGGGGGTGGTTTTTCTTGTAGTAGACTGTGGTATGGTAGGTATTTGGGGTGCGTATGACTAGGACGTCCAGGAAAGGAATAACATGCTCATGTTCTCTCTCATGAGTGAATG